GTCTGCCCACCTCAGCAGGGAAAGGGATTAATTAGCAAGTGGGAATCCAAACAGACGGGACTTGGACTAATCATACCAACAGCAACAACAGAGGCCAAATGTCCAGATTTGAAACCAGGCCCGTGACATGCAACCAGCTGACATGACAACTCCAAGGGGATGGCAGGGGCCCAAGGATATAGCCTGAGTCCACTGGCTCTGGCAAAGGGAGGTCTTCCTGGTGCAGCAGGCAATGAGCAAGTGTCCCACCACGTAGCACCCACACACCTGTGGGCTGGTTGGGGCCGGAACTCTGCTCCCCCGACTATCAGCAGCCTGGCCTAAGCTGCAACCCTGTGGCCCCACCCTCGGCGGCAGGAGGCGGCCCTGGCCTGCCAGGAAGCTGACCTCTTGCTGTGAGTCGGCTGTAGACCTGGGAGTTGACTTCCTTGTCTCTCAGGTAGCATCGGATCTCCTCCACTGCCTCCCGGATGATGGTGACAGCCAGCACGAAGCCCTGTGGAGAAAAGCAAGAGGGGTGAGCCCTGTTAGAACCAAGCAACCAACACCTCTGGGTGCTGGGGACCTAAAGGTGCACTGCCACCTTGTAGTAATATCCTACCCTAACAATATCACTATTAATTACAGCATTCATAATAACAACATCTCTCTACAATAACATGAAGTCCCCAGATAACGCAAACAGCTAAGCTCTCGGCTACTAACCAAAGGGCTAGCAGTTCAAATCCACCCAGGGGCACCTTGGAAGAAAGGTCTGGTAACCTACTTCTGAAGAATCACCGCTGAAAATCCTATGGAACACAGTTCTACTCTGACACACATGGAGTTGCCATGCATCCAAACTGACTCAACTGGTTTTCTGGCACAATGATATTAATTACTTAAACGGTACACACCCTAGACAGCCCCCTTGTCCAAATCTACCCTGGCAAGCTCGTATGCACATGCATGTTCTAGAGAAAAGCCATCGTAGATGAGTACACCCATATTCACCACCACAGGGTTTGTAAGAGCTGTTGTTGTTAGGTGCTCCGACTCACAGTAACCCCACGTACAACAGCACAAAACACTCCTGGTCCTGCCCCATCCTCACAATCCTTGCTATGCCTGAACCCAGCCACTGTGTCGGTCCATCTCATTGAAAGTCTTCCCCTTATCTACTGACCCTCTACTTTAACAAGCGTGGTATCTTCTCCAGGAACGGTCCCTTCTGACCACATAATTTTTGACAACTTCCAATTCTCCTAGATTCATAATTCGTGCATTCCATGTTCCAATTATTAATGGATCTTTGCAGCTTCCCATCTTGAGTCATGCTCCGTCAATAAATGAAGGTCCTGAAAGCTTTACTCCACCCACGTCATCAGGATCGACTCTGCTTTGAGGAGGCAGCTCTTCCCCAGTTCTATGTTGAGGGTCTTTCAACCTGAGGAGCTCATCTTCTGGAATTATATCAGGGAATGTTTCATGGCTCTTCATAAAGTTTTCCAGTAACATTATCAGACACTGCTCCACTGCTATTCCTAAGGTTTTCAGGAGCCCAGTTTTTTCAGAAGTGGGAGGCTCCTTCTCCCCAGTCTGTCTTAGTCTGGGAGCTCTAATGAAACCTGTCCACCATGGGAGCTAATCCCAGTGGAATAGCTTTCCGCCTCGCAGCAACACACAAGCCACCACAGTAGGACAAACTGACAAAGGAGTGGTGGTCGTAAAAGCTAAAACCACAGAAGCAACCACACTGTGCTCTCACAAGGGAGAGGGTGGCTGATGGGGCTAGCTACCATTCACACTCCACTCACCACCTGCCCCAAACCGAAAAAACAAACTCACTGCCAGTGAGTCGATTCCGACTCACTGCGCTGCTCCTTGGGTTTCCAAGGTGGTAAATCTTTATAGGAGCAGACTGCCCCATCTTCCTTCCATGGAGAGGCTGGCAGGTTTGAACCATCAACCTGGTTAGCAGTCAACTGCCTTTGGCCCTGTGCCACCACAGCTCCTTCACCACGTGCCCAGTACTGCTGAACCCTTGACATCTGTGAACTCACCTGATCCACACAACTACTGCATGAGATGCACTGTCATCACTGAGATCCCATGTTACAGACGGGGAAGCCAAAGCACAGAGAGGTTAAGTCACCTTGCCGGGCACATTAAGGAAGTAAGTGAGAAGCAGGTATTTGACCAGGAACCCAGGCTCCAGAGTTCTTGCTTCTAACTGCCACATCATTCTGCGTTTGGAAACTTGAACACAGCCAAAATGATGGCTCACAAAGAGACAGTGAGAAAGAGCCCGACACATGGGGAAGTTGGTCCTGCAGAAGATAGGCATGGCATCATGTATACAAGCACCAACAAAGATCCACAGGCCGCTAAGCAGTTCTCATGCACTATGGGTACTCCGTACCACTTGTTATCAGCCGCCATCGAGTCAGCCCCCGACGCACGGCAAGCTCGCTCACTGTGGCAGGAACACGGCTGGGTCCTGTGCCATCCTCATAATCGTTTACTGATGACCACTGAGATCTAAGCGTTTTCATTGGCTGATCTTCAGAACTCGATCACCAGGTCTTTCCTCCTGGTCTATCTTAGTCTGAAAGCTCCACTAAAACCTATTCAGCTTCACAGCAATGCACAAGCATCCATTGACCGGTGGGGGGTGGCTGTGCAGGAGGTGGGAATCAAGCTCAGGTCTCCTGCATGGAAGGCCGAGTTCTAGCCCTGAACCCCCACAGCCACTGTACCCAGGGCACAGACGAGAACAGGTGTGTAGAGAACAGATGAGAAAGAGATGCAGCCCACTGGAACCTGAACGGCTGTTAGGGTCCCTGCCAGGACAGGGACGAGGACTGGACGGCTGGTTAGGGTCCCCTGTAAGGAAAGGGATAGGATGGGGGGGGAGGGGATGCAGGGGACTTCCACCTCAGCTGTAATGTTTCGAGTCTTCATAAGAAGACATATGAATGATTAGGTTGCATACGTATCAATTATTTAAAAGAAAACTTAAAAAACTATCCCTAATCCTCCCTGAGTCAGGCAACCCCAATTCCTAAAATCTGACATGGGGGAGGTCAGTCACAGCAAGAAACTACTTCCACCTAGGCTTTTCCTCTCCTGTCAATAAAGGAAGGAGCTCTGGTGGCATGGTGGTTAAAGCACTCCAGCTGCTAACCAAAAGGCGAGTAGTTTGAACCCACCAGCCACTCCACAGGAGTATTCCATCAAGGTTTACAGCCTTGGAAACCCCATGGAGCAGTTCCGCTCTATCCCATAGGGTCGCAACAAGCCAGAATCAACTCTATAGCAGTGGGTTTGGCTTTTTGGTTTGGATCATCCTTACAAATTAGTTACCCCCCCCTTCCATTCTAGAACATTTCCCATGACCAGAACACCTTTTGTAAAAAATATACAAATAACATAAGTGACCTGGAGGTTAAAAGCAGTAATTCCTTGTGGATTTCATTTTCATATAGTTTACCCCATGAAAGGGAGCTCTGGTAGCGTAGTGCCTAAGGCACTTGACTGCTGATCAGAAGGCTGGAGATTCAAACCCACCAGCCACTCCTCGGAAGGAAGATGGGGCAATCTACTTCCGCAGTGATACTGCCTCAGAAACCCAAGGAGTGGTCGCTATGAGTCGGTCGACTCGACGACGACACATAACAACAACAAACCCCATGAAATACGTGAACTTCAACTCATACAACTTCAAATCTTTTATGTGATTCTATCAGAGATGTGCTATGCTATAAAACTCCTCAAAGGTCCACAGATCTTTCCAATCCAAGGTCACTCATGTTTCCCATGGATTGAAAGGACACATTGCTGGTAAGGATTGAATTACATGTGTTGTAAACCCTAACCTCTCTGTCTATGGTTATAATTCTGATTGGGAATGGGCTGTTTTTGCTATGTTAATGAGACAGGATTAGCACAGGGTGTGTCTGGAGTCAATCTCTTCTGAGATATAAAAGAGATTAAACAAGCAAGTGTGAGAAAGAAATGGGGAGGGAGTCATGCCAAGCCACATGACCACCGCCCAGAGCAGAAGCTCAATGAGACAAGGACCCGCCTCCAGAAACAACAAAGAAGTCTTCCCCTGTTGTTGTGTGCATCAAGTCAGACCCAACTCATAGCAACCCCTCCTTGGGTTTCTGAGGGAGTGTCACTACGGAAGTAGATTGCCCCATCTTCCTTCAGAGGAATGGCTGGTGGGTTTGCGCCACCAGCCATCTGGTTAGCAGTCAAGTGTTTCAGGCACTATGCTACCAGAGGTACCTAGCCTTGCAATAGAGTTGGACAAATTTCTGTTTGTTACAGCCTCCCCTCCTTGTGGTATTTCTGTTACAGCAGCCCGGATAACTAAGACGGCAGCAAAAGGAAAATGGGTGCCTTTCAGAATGAAAACACAACCAGGCCACCCAGCGGTGCAGAAAAACGCCTCTGCTGGAAGCAGGCAGACCCAGCTAGCAGAGCACCCCCTCCTCATGCTGCTGTCTCCTTGTTCAGGACCAGCACCTGGGTTGTTATTGTTGTTTGTCTTTGCAAGCGTGGCCATTTCTGTTTCTCTCTGCGTGGCCCCAGCTAAATCCCATTGATGTCAATGGCAAATGAGCGTGCACACAAACACGGCTCCCCTAACCTCCCTGCTACAAATAAATACAGCTTCCTATCTACATTACTGTAGGGTGGCCCTACTCCCAAACACACAGGCCCCATTAATTCTGGAGGACCCATCAGTCCTTAGGCTAGAAACTGCTTTACAAAGAGGTGCAAATGTAGTCCAGAAATAAATGCCCACCGTAGTAACATCCACAGGTATTTGCAGAAAGCATTTAAAATGGAGCCCAGGGCTGCCTGAGCCCCCAGAGAAATCACAGAACAGACAAGCAACTCTGAAGGGGCCAAGCATCTTTAAAGTTGTTCTCCAAACATCTACCACTTGTCTCTCAGTCTGTTGCCCTGTGGCAGCTTGCATGCTGCTACGCTGCTAGAAGCTATACCACAGGTATTTCAAATACCACCAGAGTCACCCATGGTGGACGGGTTTCAGCCGAGCTTTCAGACTAAGACAGATATGGAAGAAAGCCCTGGCAATCCCCTTCCAAAAACCAGCCAAGAAAACCCTATGGATCATAGAAGGTTGGAAGATGAGCCCGCAGGGTGGAAGGCACTTCGTGACATCTCCAGCAAGGGACTCTGGCACACCAAGCAGGGCGAAGGTGCAGGACTGGGCCAACTGGACGGGAACTGACAACAGCGTTTCCAAAACAGAGTCATGGCCTAAAGCAAATCCAGCCTGTGGGTGACAGAAATCAGAAGAGCTGCCTCGGGGTGGGGGCGCCAGGCAAGAGGCACGAGGCAACTTTCCTGGGTGACGGAAATGTTCCACGTCTCTGCTGGGGTGGGTTTACATGGGTGCTGACAGTTGTCAGAACTCACTGAACTGCATACTTAAAACCTGCGCACTCTACAGCTTGTCGATTGCCATCTCAGTAACAA